TGCTGCATCCACAAGTGCAGGTTGACAGTATACCATGCAAAGACGGAACCATATCTGAACATGATCCAGAAACGCAGCTGACTTCTCTGGGTTTGAGCTTGTTCAAGATCTACTGAAGCAAAATGGAAAACTGTCTTTGTCATTGTCTGACTAATCAAGATTTCAAATTCTTCTTGGAAATCAAGGACGCTGCATTATCCGGGCTAAAGAGGAGATGGACCATCCAGCTTGTTATCAGTAAACCGTTTAAAAGCCAGCATCCGTGATGGTATGGGGGTGCATTAGTGCCCGTGAGTAGCTTGAACATCTGAGAAGGCACCGTTAATGCTGACTGATATGTACAGGTCTTGGAGTAGCATAAGTTGCCATCCAGACAATGTCTTCTTCAGAGAAGGCCTTGTATATCTCAGCAATACCAAACTGCATTCTGTGCGTATTACAACAGCATAGCTCCGTAGTACAACAGCTCGGGTTCTAGGCTGGCCTGTCTGCATTAGAAACATTTGCCACATACCCCAAACTGTTGAGCAGTTGAAATTCTATATCAAGGAGGAATGGGACAACATTTCACTTACAAAACCCCAGCAACTGGTCTCCTCAGTACCCAAACGTTTACAGACTGGTGTTAAAAGAAGAGGTGATGCAACACAATGGTAAACATGCCACAGGCCTGATTTCCAATGTATTGCTAGCATCAAATTCAAATTGAGCATTTATTTGTCATAGAACAATAAAATGTCTCAGTTTCAACATTTGATATGTCTTTGCTCTCTTGTCAATGAAATATGGGTTTATGCGATTTGTTAATCATTGCATTCTATTTTTATTTACATTTCACCCAGCGTCCCAACTTTTTTGGAAACGGGGTTATATTACAATAAGCATGAACACTGAAGGTGGCATGGTGGCTCAGAGACTAGCTTATTTGGCCCACACCTCTGGGATGGTTGATAGGTGAGTATCCTGCCTCCACTGGCTGTGTGTGGAGTTAGCATGTCCCCTCCGTGTCACATGGGTCTCTAGCCACTGTGCAAAGATATGCAATTAGGCTATAGCTGGTACCTTAGGATAGCCTGGTGTGTGAGTGTGTGATTGTATGTGCCTTGTAATGGACTAGAAATCCAGAGACCCCCCAGCCTTGTGTCCCATGCTTCTTGAGAAACTCTCCAGGAACCCTACGGTCCTGTCCGGGATGTGCGGTCGTAAATTGATCACCGGTACAGTGGTCACCAATATCGGAACCAACCTACAATTGAATCTGGACCCCACAATCGATATTTGGGGACCCCTGCTCTATTTCATGGTATGACAGCTCAGTAAAATCTGTGTGGGGCAGCCTCTGATACGTGCTGTGTAAAGAACATATTCACATTCCATGAGCAGCGATGAATTCACATTCCATGAGCAGCGATGAAGGGGCGTTGCTGCCAGCTGCTGAATCTGCCCATCTTCCTGTTGACTTCCAGATGGAGCAGCTGAGGCCTCCACCTCCCAGCCTGCAGCCAAGGAAGAGGGAAAGGAGATCCAGGAGCAGAAGGTGCATCATAGCACATCCGTCATTCACTGAAGCATGGCCGCTCGTGGGCGTCCCCTAGGTCTGGGGCGATATATCGATAAAATATCGTACCGTGATTATGAACATTCACATCATCATCAATTTGAATATTGCGAGTATCGTGTTATCACCTAAACACTTGTTTTCTTGGATAATTAAGAGTTATAATGCACTTTGGATACACAAATTGCATCAAGGTATGAGACTGTTGGTGGCGTATTTTATCATTATACCTGTCACACGCTCCATAACTATTAATAAAATTATTTGGTCATAATTTTACTTTTCATATTTTACTGTTTTCTACAAACGATTTTTAGAATATTGTGATAAATATCAGTATCGTGATAATCTCTGAAAATATTGTGATATTTTTCAGGCATATTGTCCATCCTAGTGTCCCTCTGCATCCCCACCTACTGGCCTCCTCTGCTTTCCCCTGGTCTGAGGAACTCCCCTGTTGTATGTTAGGATAGGGAAGGTGCTGATGGTGGGGGCTCGGAAGAGAGCAGTGACGAGGACAGCAGTGACGAGGACAGTGACGATGACAGCGAGGACGACGAGGACCTGGAGAACGAGGAACCGCTGTCTTTGGAGTGGCCAGACACTCGGCGCAAGCAGGCCACCTATTTGTTCCTGCTGCCCATCATCTTCCCGCTGTGGCTGACCCTCCCTGACATGCGAAATCTGGTAAAGACCAGCCACAGCGTGCACGGCCCATGGCCTGCACACGCTAAACCAGCCTGGCGAGAAGCCGAACGAGCCAGAAACACTCCAAGGTACAGCTGAAACAGTCCACTCTCACTTTGCCTTCTGCAGGCTTCCAAAAAGTACTTTGTAGTGACCTTTCTTGGGTCCATCATCTGGATTGCAGTCTTCTCCTACCTGATGGTGTGGTGGGCACATCAGGTCAGTGACTCAAGCCTTTCTGTAGAATTCTTACTGCCAGCTTCAAATGCGTATTCTTAAAAAGCAAAGCTAACAGTCTCAGTGTTACCCTTCTGAGCGTGTTTGTAACCATCTGTGTTCTTTGTTAGGCTGTACTCTACACCCTCAAACGAAACAGCTCCCCCCTCTGACCGGAGTGTGTTTCTGCAGGTGGGCGAGACAATTGGCATCTCAGAGGAAATCATGGGCTTGACGATCCTGGCAGCTGGCACCTCGATCCCTGATCTCATCACCAGCGTCATCGTGGCCCGTAAGGGCCTCGGCGACATGGCGGTGTCTAGCTCAGTGGGCAGTAATATCTTTGACATCACAATGGGGTGAGCTGCCACTAGCTGGGCTCCACTGGTGATGCCTGCAGATTCATTACTAATAGAACCAGAGCAGTCAGGTACGATCAGTTGCTTTTATTCCCTAAATGGTAAGTAACTATTGCTGATTCATGTGGTTGTTTCATAAGCCTCAGAGATTAAGTTTAAAATTGCTGTCACTTAGTTGATCCCAAATGAATATTGGTTGTAATAATTGGTTGCATAATTCAGTCTTTCTCGTCCATGGAATTTTCTGCCTTCCACCGTGCATTTACAGTAACAGTAGATGAGGCACACGCTTCTCCCTGGGAGAGCATGAGCCTCACACGCATCCCCTTCCCTCCCCAGGCTGCCCCTGCCCTGGCTTATGTTCTCCTTGTTCAACGGTCTGGTCCCTGTGGCCGTCAGCAGCAACGGCCTCTTCTGCGCCATTGTGCTGCTCTTCCTCATGCTGCTCTTTGTCATTGTCTCCATCGCTGCCTGCAAGTGGAAGATGAGCAAGAGGCTCGGCTTCACCATGTTCCTGCTCTACTTTGTGTTCCTGGTGCTCAGTGTCATGCTGGAAGATCGCATCATAGTCTGTCCTGTGTCCATCTGAGGACAGCGCATCTGCCCCATGTTCATCTGAGAACAGCACATCTGCCCTTCTCTGCCCCATGCATCTGAGGGCAGCACATCTGCCCTTGTCTACCCCATGTCCATCTGAAGACAGCACATCTGCCCCCATATGCCGTATCTATCTGAGGACAACACATCTGCCCCCATCTACCCCGTGCCCATCTGAAGACAGCACATCTGCCCCTGTCTGCCCCATATATCTGAGGACAGCACATCTGCCCCCATCTGCCCTGTGTCCATCTTAGGATAGCACTTGTGCCCCCATTTGCCCCGTGTCTACCTGAGGGCAGCACACAGGCTCCCACACCTCAGTGTGGTCCCACACAGATTTTTAAACACACTAAGCTCAGTTGAAGGTTTTGTAGATTGATGTTCCCCCTCATACTGCCTGTTTGTACTGCTGTCCAAGCAGACAAAGCATGCTCACCTACCATTGTTTAATGCGACTCATATACACTAAGCTCATTTATCTGCTTATCCACACGGAGTCTTTGAATGTATGAACACCAGTGAGTTAAGATGGTACTGTAGCATTGGATGTCAAGAACAGCGGTTGGATTGTTTAGTAATGAATATGCACAGAAGCTCGACAGTGAGCTTCAGGTTTTATGAGATCATGTTTCCAGGTTTCATGTGTAAAGCAGTAGAACCATGATATTTTTTAATCTCTTGCTAAAGATGCTGTGAATATGGATCAGGTTTAACAAATCATTTCAACCTATAGAAATTAAAACTGAAACTGGTGCAACAGGCTAAATATCACAACAATAGACGTGAACATATTAATCACCTCCCATCAAAAGGGGTATTAGCTGAGAGTGCTGGGGGTGATTGATTTGTTTTACCCCTGTTTTACTTCCAGGGCAGATCAGTAAGGCTTGTAGGAATTTCTGTACTGCATTGCAAGTGTGGGACGGCACCCGCAGAAAACCACCATAACCAAGTCAAAGGTATCTGTTAAGTGATGGATGAAAGAATTTAACTTTGATTAAAAGTGTTTTTAATATGTGATTTAAGAGACTGGTCTAAAGATGCATGTATCTTGTTCATACCTGGTGCGTGTGAGTATGTGTATTTGTGTGGGGCTGTATGTCCTGCGCATCAATCTACATGTCAATGTGACATTTCTGAGGTACCACTGAGGCTCAAAATGGACGTAATGCACTATGAATTCATTAAACAAGCAGTAACTGTCTGCCCACCATTCCGTTGCTGTTATCGTTAAAACTCACTACACTTTAACAGTAAGTACATGTCAGTAAACAGCAGTGAAGGAGTCACATTGGCTTAGATTAACAGCCTTTCATTCGGAAGGGAGGAAACGCTCTCTGCTATTTGCCAGGTGGCCCTTAAAACTATTTTAGAAAAGCTGGTGTCCTGTCACTTGTGGTTAATAAGAGAAGACAAAAATCCCAGCCTTGTGTGAAGGTTAGTATTCAGAAGGCTTTAGAAATATAGCAGGAATACAGTAAAACCATAATTATGAAATACTGAATAATATACCTTATACTTTACATAGAAATGCATAAAGTAATGAAGTTAAGCTCCACAGACACAATAATAAAACCATGCGCATTATGAGTGAATTTATTTACAATTAAAAGGTTGACGACCCTGAAGATCCTGTCTAAGATGCATCATCACTACTGGATCCCAAGGTGTACTTCCTGTGTACACATTTGTAAACATTTTTAAAGGTCCAGTCTAAAAAGAACAGACAAAACTTACATCAAGCTAAAAACCTTACACATTTTACACACAGCTGTGAATAAGTGACACATACATGGACTGAGGGCAGTCCTACATTATTACAGAAGCTGCTGGGTGTTAAGAACATTTAACTGTCTAAGTCTCGCTCCATGCCATCTTGCTGGGTGGGTAGGGAAGAGGGTTGGAGAAGTTTCTAGATATTCATTTTTTACATTTATAAAGGATTAACATTTGCATAGCACTCAGCCCACATATTGGTTGGCTTTAAAAAAAATCTGAAACTTTCAAAAGGGCAATACACCCAAAGTCAGCCTTTCAGGAGAACCGTTCAGTGCGTTGAGACTGACACTGACCAGAAGCTACTGACCATTGTTAGACAAAATGCCTGATGTGGGTCAGTGAGTTCAGGCTCTGCAATCACGTAAAGCTACATCTTTCAACATGTCCAGTTGAAACTTCATGAGACCTGCATCACAAAACTATCAAAGAGCAAAGTCTATGACAAAAAAAATAAATTGTGATTTCAGAATGGTCCATATTCACTACTGTATAGGGCAGGTGATCAATGGAAACTGAAACCTTCACTGCAAATGCACATCTGCATTTTAACGGTGTGAATTTTCTGGAAACACGGAGTAGGGTGTCTGGGAGTCCGGTGACCCCCAAGACTTTCAGCACAGGGCTCCGCAACGGGCAGGGCGCAGTGTGACAGGGGCATAAATGGCCAGCTGTCACTGACAGAGGCTTTCTGTTAGTGACCAGCATGCCATCATGCCAACCAGTTAGAAATGTCAATTACCAGTTAGGCATGTCCATATATCCTGTGAGCTCTCCTATGGACTGTACCACTCCAAAGCCAAACACAAGGCACAGCTAGTTCTCGTTTATAATACCCATATGGTAAAAAACACAGAGCTTCAAAATTAGTATTTTACAAGTGGAAGTGCTTCTTCACAATTTCACAAAAATTCAGCAGAGGTTTACTTGATATTTGGAAAATACCATCATGATTTGTCATGGTGGGACAAGCTAACTGCTAGTTCCTTACACTGTACAGAAGGACGTAACATACACAGTTTGTGAAAACTGACAATTATGTAAGCTTATACCAGCGGGTTCGGAAGTCATGCTGTTTTAATCCAAGATAACATAAAGAGATGGTGTTTTCTAAGATCCTGATCCAAAGCGAATTACCGTTAATTTAATTAAAATGAACGACTAACCGAGAAGCTATTTTACAAACAAATTCCTTTTCAGTTTACACCATTGTACACATGTACAGGTGTGTATGAACAGTTATATACGTATGCCTATATTTTATATTAATTATTTATAGAGAAAACGTGTGATGCTTAGTAACACTGTATATGGATATATGGCCGTTTTTTCTTATTATGCACATTTCTCGCTCCGAGAAATTAATGGATATGTATGAATATTAATATAATATGGAAGAAAACCTAAAGTGTTACTATTGTTACTTTTTAAATAAACGTTTGGATGCATAATAATTAACCATGTAAATACAGTTTAACGCACTAGTGACCCCCAAACAGGCAGGACGCAGAGGGCCCCCCAGCCGCCGTTAATGACTGGGCCGCAGCGGCAGGGTAGGCAGAGGCTGGGCACGGTAACCGTGGCATCGCCGTATGAGATGGAGACTGGCGCGTGAAACGTCCGTTATTTCCCCGCCATTTTGATAAATGGAGCAGGGTTACCGCTTCCGGCGTATTTCACAGTTAGGCGGTCGCGCCATTTCACATCTCGCAGCAGAGGGAGGTCTCACTACGTACACTGCTGTGGATATAGAAATAACACCCATTTTTAATTTAATGGAAAGCCGGGCAGAGGCAGCACGAAGCTGTACCACCTCAGATTTAGAATTAATTGCCGCATTATTGCCGCAATTGACGATTATTTTAAACCACGATTTATAACTACTTTAAAACGCGCAAATGAAAACAAATATATACATGTAGACAGGCACACTGACACGTACGCACAGCCTCGATGTACCGTTTTCGGGTAATCGGTTTTTGGTTTTCTAATGGGCAGTATACGCGCTGGGATTACAACTGGTAAAGCATTTCTCTACAAACTAACGAAAGACAGGCACAGTGAAACCGTTATAAAAAACCGTTCACACGCGTTTTAAAGAAATACTCCATATCCAGCAAACAACTCACGCCATTTTAGGCAGCTGAACAATCAGAACCCTAAACTGCACATGGTGTAACTAATCCAGACCGGTTGACAGAGTCTGCTTACACGGAGGAGACCGGAGCGAAAACCGGAGAGGGCCATTAACTGACGCTTGGGAGGAGGAGACAGACACCATCCTTTGTTTCAGGTAACACGACTGGGTGCCTCAGCATAAACTCCGTTAGTCCTCACTGAAAAATTCACTAACACCCATTCATATCTCTCCGTATTTAATTAAAATGCAGCCACATTTCTAATGCCGATTTCAACTGGTAATCTATATATAGTTTTAAGAGGTACCTTTAATGATGAGCCACTCCAATTCATAAATGTGTTAAAAATACTTAAAATATATCCTTTAAATGTTAGATCATCAGTATTCCAGTCCTTATATTCCGCTTGGGTGGGCCCTGAAAAATTAGGTCCCTCCTAAAAAGGATGGAATTTGACTCTACATATACAGTATACAGTACAAGTAGATTTTCCAGTCCTTAAGTGGGTCTCCTCTGATGCAGTGTCACAAACCATCAAACCCTCAGATGGTTCAGGTAGACATACAGGCGTTATTACAGTACTCTCTAGTAAGACAAGGCCTCCCTAATAACCAACACACACACACACGCACACACACACAAACACACACACACACACGTTTGAAAGTAAACCACCACATAGTAAAAACTGGGCTTAAGCGCTACAGCAGACATAAATAAATAATGGTGCATTTTTATAAATAGAATACAAGTGACATATTGTCAGTATTAGTCTCAATGTATGAATATATAATACAAATGTTTTAAAAAGTATGTACAGGACATATTCATTGTATAGAACATAATCTAAATAGGTTTTTGAAAAGTACCACATTATAACCAAGAAACGTGACCATAAATGTTCTGTTCTTTTTTTACTAAATAGTGTTCAGTAAATTCTAGAAGGCTGCTCTTGTCCGAGGTACCTATTTCCTGTTAATGGTAATTGCTACAGAATCCGCTTTACTGCCTGCTCGAACCCTATCCCGGGGCAGTAAAAACACACAGGGCCCCTGCTATCAGTTTGTTACCAGGGGCACTACGCTGTCTTGCTTCTTTCCACCTCTTATTTCCTGAGCGTCTTTTTTTGCACAAGCCCTCCTAGTGTGGGCAGTGGTCTGGTATGGGGTCTTCTGGAAATCACCGGTTGGTGCCAGGTGTTGTTTTCAGGCTGCATGTGTGACAGGCCTATAGGCTGGTACTCCACATGACTCTGGTGGCACATATCCATTCTTCATGGAGGAGGCCACCCTGTCCAAGTTGGGGGAACTATACATTGGGTGCCGTCTTACTGCTGTGATGTCCCAAAGTGATCTCCACCCATTCAGCAGGCCGCACTGATGAGGACCTTGCAGTCTTGGGATGCTAGTGTTGTAGGTGTTGGGTGGAGAGACAGAGACATGGCTCACAAGTACGGCTCTCCAAAGATCTTGCGGCACTCCATCACCCCAACACTGGGTGGTCGGTCACAGTTGTGCGTCAGCTTGACTTGGCTGGGCGTGAGACGGTCGTAAGCCATCTTGTATTCCCGGTCAAATGCATCTGTATGAAGGTTGTGAGGCAAAGGTTAGCATAGAAGCTGAATTCCGTCAAGAGCGGCCTATTAAATCCCTGTTGCCTTGAAGGAAAATTAACTTCTTATGATCCACAGCATCACATTTTAAAGATTATAAGATTAAATCCTTTTTTGCCATTTGCACAAGTATAAGTACAAGTACATTGGAATTCTTCTCTTCACCCAACCCATCTTGCTATCCATTCCTTGTGGGTCATAGTGCAGCGTCAGTCAGCATGCAGCACCCCTTGAGCTGGGGGTTGAGGGCCTTGCTCAAGGGCTCACAGACATGTGATCATTCTGCTGAGGCGAGGGATCAAACCAGTGATCTTCTGATCACAGACACAGAGCCTTAGCCCACTTATCCATGCGCCACCCCTGAATACCCCCAGTCAGCAAACCACTTCAAGTTCTTCCTTGTGGTGTTACATACACTAGATCCTCACAAAGATGAGGTACTCACCGATGTCAATGTTGTCCTTGCCTAATGCCACCAAAGACAGGAAAAGGATCTCTCTGTACAAACTCCTATGAGAAGCCCACGGACAAGCAGGATAAAAAGAAAAGCAGTGAGTTATGTGAGCTGCCGCTCTGTATCAGTGAGGTGGCTGCTGCATGTTCATATGTCACATGACAGTCTCCCTACCTTTGCCTACGGACACCCAGCTTCTGGCCAACCAGCTGCAGGACCTGGCTCATGGGTCGGTACACATCGTTCTTCTGGATACTCTTCACTACACTCTGCAGCAGCTCCTTCCCCACGTGTTCATCTTCCTCCTCCCTTAGCGGCCAGGTCACTGGGTAGTTCAGATCTGCAGCGAGGCATGAGAAGATAGTTGACATGCATTCACGAGGACAGGCATGTGTGCATGCACGTGTGCACGGAATGGCAGGACTGAGAGTGGCTGGGAAATCACAGAACAATGGGACACCAAAGGATCGAAATAAAGTATAAACACACATCCGCAAACGTGTCAGGGTGTCTAAGGCCCGGACGCAAAATAATATAATATTGTTATTTGGAAGCGTTTGAGATATTTCAAAGAAATGAATTTGGAGTTCAATCGCATTGGAGCAGTGTCCATTTAAAAAATACTGTACAAAATATAAATCCTCTATTATCAGCAGCATTAAAGAGCAACAGAATGAAAGTTAAAAAAGAAAATCTTCTAACAACGAAGTAGCGCATCAGATGTGTGAAGACGGCAAACAGAAAAACTAAAAACATGCTGATCAAACATCAAAAAGGGCAAAGCCAAAGGACACAACAGCTGAGGGACGATAAGTGAACAACCCAGTGTTAACACTCACTCTTAATTAAAAGAGTACGATTTAGGCCTGCAAGACAAAGAGAGTTTCTGTTAGCTTTTAGCAGTACGGAGATGCGACTGTCAAGAGAGAATGACCAGACAAAGGAAAGAGAGCAATCTACAGAAAAGGGACCCAACGGTGGAGAGAGTTGCTTTTGAAATGTAAAAGGTTACAAAAAATTACTCTGTTAAAATGCAATAAGTAACATAACTGTTTTGATTACTTCATCATAGTAATGTAACATTACATTTGATTACAGGTTATCGTTGACTTATGACCGTGTTCGTTTCCGACTGATCAGTTGTAAGTTGATTTAGTCGCAAGGTGGCCCTTTGTATTATATGCAAAAATTATCATACGTATAGTATACTGTATAATAAAACCATATCTTTTTTTTAACCTTTTTTTATCACCATTTTCTTTGTTCATTACTGTGCTGAACTGTTAGAACCTTTCTATCATCTTTCTACACGTTGTATATAGAAATGTATATTGTGACCGCTGCAAGCAGCAGCCTGAGCACGAGATGAATGAATGCAGTCGTGCTGCCAGCTGTTGGGGCGGAAACTGTCAGACATTTATGTTAGGCAACACTCGTGCTGCCAGCCCCGGCACAGTCATGGCCATATATCTGCAGTCTTAAAGGCGATCAGTCGTAAGTCCATAGATCATGAGTCGACGACTTACTGTTCTTTTCTAAAAAGCGTTTTAAACTGGGCAATAAAGCTGAAAAGTCCCAATGGCTTTGCTGACCCCATTGTCTGTAAATATGCGAAAAGAAGACATTTCTGCATGGCGAAAAGATGCAAAGCAACAAAATGAATGTTATTTTCTTCATATAAGCTTTTTACTGAAAACAATTTGGATGTAACCCCTTTGTAATCACCAAAATTTTGATTAGTAACTAAACCAATTACATGTTTTTTTCTCAGTAACTGTAATGGATTACAATTACGTTGATTCTGTAATTTCATTATGTAACACTGTTACATGTAACTAGTTACTCCCCGTCACATACATACACAGCAAATCTGGAGAAACTGTATTTAGCACACCTAGCCAAAGACTGCATGGGCGGGTTCACAAACTCACTGCCACCCACCCAAGCAGCCTCACAGTGATACGGAGCCCACACTTACGGTGCGTGTTCCACAGGATGTAGAACGGCTGTGTGGGATCCTGATGTAGCTTCAGGTTGTCCCATAGGATCTGGATCAGCACATGTTTGCTGTCTTCAGACATCCAGTGCCGAGGAATCTGTAAAGTGAGTGGTGAGGTTAGAAAGCCTCCCCATAGCTCCTTGAGTATGTTCCAGGCACCTACAGCTGTCCTACGTCCTGAGGTCAACAATACAACCCTGTACCATGAACTTCAAACGTGTTAGTAAACAAGAAGAACTATGATACTGAAGTCAGCACCATTGAGTCACACTCGCATTCAATGATCCGTAAGCAGTATGGGATCAAAGATGAGATCAGAGACCCCATATCCGAATCTGAAAAGATCTGGGAACTTGCAGATCTGAGTGTCCTACCTGGGACCCACGGTTGCAGTGGTCTGAGGTCAGGATGAGGCCAGGCAGGTTGCTGGGCAGGTCCAGTCGACGGAAGTACCACACCAGGTTCCAGAAAATTATGGGATGGTGGTCCACCATGTCCGACACAGTGATCACCTGGTCCCCCTCGTTCTCCAATAGGCTCTCCAGCTCCTTCCAGAGCACCAGTGGGCTCAGATAGGGCACTGTCACTGGGTCTGGGTTGTGTAGACGCCACTCCATGCTCAAGGGATCCTAGAACATGTAGGTTTACATGCATCTCAGATTTGCTAATAATACAGATCAAAATGTCTTAAGGTGCTCTCCAATGTGTCCAACTTTCTGGAACTTTTCAGATGAAGGACTGATCTTCGTTGCCTTACCGTGACTTCGTTGAGCCGGCAGGGCAGGCTGCCTGTGATGTAGCGGCTGGTGCGGACTGGCTCCTCCAGGGCTCCGAAGGCGCTGACACTGCGCACCATGGTAGGCTCTGGAGACAGGGCACCCTGGCGTCGCTCTGTCGGGATTTCGACACAGTGGGCCACGGAATACCCAAGGGAGCTGCTCCTGTGAGTACGAAAGGCTGTTTGAGTGAGATAACCCTCAGTCCTCGACCTGGAGCACAGGCAGAAGAATACTCAGCGCTGCAGCAGAAATGCATGCAGCCATAAAACAGACAGAAGGTCCTGCTTATAAGCTGGAGTAACACAATACCCTTTCTACACTGTGTAAAACACAGTGAAACAGCTGTGGCTTAAAGTCAATAATTACAGAGAGCAAATGACCTTTTGGATCAGTGTAGAAGCTCCTCATATCCACCCAAATAACCTGCCTCTCACTTGAGGTATCAGCTAGTATTAAACTCTTTCCTAGGAACATCCTGTGGCCATATAAAGCTCTTTTGTTCCATCAGTGGATCCTGACCATAATTTTGCAGAAGGTGCAGCATGTAAACCCTAGTGCTGATGTTTTTGCACTCAGTGTTCCACGAGGACTACAGTGTGACCCTCTGCAGCTTTTTGGGTACAGCGGACCCAGGTGCAGCTGAGCAGGGAGCTCCCATTTACATTGTAGATTAGGGTCAGGAGCAGGGCTCATCTCTGAGGGACGGCTACTTCAAACACGTCCTTTATCAGCAACACAAATGGAATGGGGACTAGGGGCTCGGACTAAACCTCACCGACACTGTGGATAAATGCCAGCAATGGGGGAGTCTTTTTGGGAGCAGTATTGTCATGCATGGTTTTCTCAATGGCTTTCATTCACAGTAAAAATAAACAGAATCAATACGGGAACAGAACAGGATTCAAACCTGTTGTTGCCAGGGCAACCATGTATTGTGATTTGGGGTGACCGTGGAGACATGGTCAGGGTGGGACAGGGAGTGGACAGCGTGGACGTCCCTGTACCCAGGCCTGTGGAGACCGAGTAGGACGAGGACACAGCTTCCTCTGCAGACGGGCTGCTTTTTAGGAAAAACCTGATTAATAAAAAGAGAAGAAGATATAGCGAGGTGCACAGTGACACTGGAACGGTGTTGGTTAATATGATTGGAAGTGACATATAGGACCATTTAGCTTCAATGCGTCCCTTGCTACTTCAGTTCATTTCCCATTGCTTCCTCGTCCCATACCTGCCAGGACCACGGAGATCCCGGATCTCCACGTTGAGGAAAGGTAGGAAGGGGTTGCCACAGAAGGGGCAGGTGGTGTTGAGGTTGGAGTCATCAGCCGTCCATCCGGCCATGATCTCCTCGTCGTAAACCAGACACTCGCAGGTCTTGCAGCGGGAGCAACTGGAGATCAGCACCTGAGGTCAACCGGGTGCACGTTCAACCACAAAGCTGAGCAGGCACCACTCCTAGTGCCTCAGCACTGTTCCCAGACCTGCACAAACACCTGATCGCACGGTTCGACGCTTTTTGGCACTTCCTAGGTGAAAGACCCACCTCCATAGCGTAGTTCTGAAAGATGCTGGTATTGCTTGTGTACTGCGAAAACTCCAGTTCCGATTTGTCTGGAAGAGTAAAGCTGGACGGAGGTGGAACGCAGCCTGAGGGACAAGAGCAACAGAGCTGGAGCCTGTACAGGTAGCTGCTTATTAAGTTACTACAAACACAACCAGGTGAAATCCATAGCCTCAAAGGGGAGGCATCAGTCTGCATGCAGTGCAAAGTCACTCCAGGAGGGTAATCAGCAGCATGTCTGCTGAAGAGGGGCTCTGAGCTCCTGGGAAGGCACATCTGGTCTTAATGACACTAGAGCTGGCTGATTGAAGAGCTTCAATCAGGCCATACTCAAGCTTGAGACAATCAGCCCTCTGATACATTCACTCTCATGTATGATTTATCAGGACCAGCTGACCTCAAGGTTAGGGGAATTAAACACATTTGCCTATCTGTAACATCACCTGTGTGGAGAGGCTTTGTGCCTGAGCTGAGCTGCGGTGCAGGGCTCTCCGCTCGTGTCCTGTGAGGGCTCCTCTTTGGGCCTGAAACACCATTCCGTTGTGGTGAGCTGGGTCCTAGGACCTCAGCTTCCAGGTAAGACTCCTCATCCATGAGGGAGATTCGGTCTGTGTCCCCCATACCCAAGGATGAGACGCTCATGTGGTCGTAGTTTGTATCCTGAGAAGAAGACGGGGAGAATGAGGACTACAGGAAAACGCACCCAACAGGCACTGTGCCTAAAGGCCACCTACTGCCTTCAGATAAAGCCCCAATTCAGATAATCCCAAAACAAGACTTCGAGGTAGCCGTTCTGATTTAAGCTATGCTTCCCTCTGCTGGACCTACTGCACACTTCCTCATTTTTACCTGAGAGCATGCTCTGCCATACACCAGCTTCTGACCACTTAGAATATTAGCAGCAAAAACAGGGTAATCAACTGCACCTTCATAATGCCTTTATAATGCATTCGTATAGCAATCATAAGCAGCAGGTAAGTATACCGTAACATCCTAACATACCTTAACAACTTTAATGTACTTTAATAACAAACATTATAAGATTGTAATGCTTCTTATTATCATATCATGTTTGACATTAATGTATATTAAAGCTCTTAGGATATGTTAGGATGTTAAATTATATTTACAAGCAGCTTATGAATGTTCTATAAATGCATTATAAAGACATAATGAAGGTGTAATTAATATAAAGCATTATCAAAAAAATAACCTCAAAGGACCCTTCATTTAGATGCCCGTATAATTCAGGATGCATTCCCTAATAGTTAATCAAGCCATCCTGAATAATGAAATAACCAATTAAAATACAGCTTTGTGTGTTTCAAGGACATGCTGATTTTTAAGAAACTTGTTTATGTACAGTACAATTTTAACAGATAATCCTGAGTTATCAGAGACTCCTTGTCACAGTAACTGTGTAAACCCGTGAACCAAATGAGCCGTGTTGCCAGTCACACCTTGCTGGGTGTGGTGTAGGTGGCCAAACGGGAGTACCAGCGACTGGCTTTTTCTGCCACCCCCTTCCCCGCGGAGAAGACGCTGCTCTTAAAGACGTCCAGAGTGGGGGTGAGAAGTGTGTCCAGGGCGAACGATGAGGGGGAGGCAGGAGGCTCCCTGTCCCTGAGGGGGCTGCTGCCCTGTGAGAAGGTGGGTGAAGACCAGAGGCGATCACGGGGGCGCTGGTGGCAGGTGCGTGAGCGGGGCATGGGGGGAGGCCGCGGGGAGCCCTGGGGCAGGCTGGAACGACGTGACGAGGAGTTGCCCGGGAGCTGGGGGCTGCAGGCATCCTGCAGGTCCATGCTGGGAGCTCGGCTGCTTAGAGGGCTGCCCATGTTGTTCATGTACATCTCGATCTCCTCGGCCAGGTTGCGTCGGGCCGTGGGGGTGCTTGGTTCACCTCCCCCCGAGTCCTGCTCTTCTGATTGGGCTGCGAACAGGGATAGTGGGTCGAAGCCCGTCTCAATGCCCAACCTCTTAGTCACACAGCCTGTGGTGCTGCCACTGCTCAGGCAGGGCTCTGTGGCCCTATTATGGCCAGCCTGGGCACCACCCGCTGTGGCCTCTCTGCTCGTCTCCTCGTCCAGGTCCTCCAGGTCGAAGATGGCAGCAGTGTCTGGCTTCTCCTCGTCGCTGGAATCCCTCTCCCCACTTTCTTTGTGGCTGCTCTTGAGCCCCCCTTCCCGCATGCCAAGGTTCAAAGAGTTGGGCCTTGTGCTCTTCTGGAATGTTCCTGAGAGAATCCTGGCGTCTGCGCCCAGATTCTCGGCAATCCTGAGAGGGTCCGTTTTGCCCCGGGTCATGCCAAGGCCCAGAACCATGCCCCCTGCGGTGTCTCCGCTCAGGCTGCGACCTCTGACCCCAGGCCAGTCCAAGCGTCTCTGGCCCTCCTCCATGGCACTCCTGTGCCGCCTGCGGAGGCTACTGCTCTGGATGAGCCCGATGTCGTCCAGCGAGGAAGTGAAGAGCAGCCCAGCCACATGGTCTGCAGGGAGGTACAAAAAACTCAGGAAGACCCTCAGAACCATGCCACAGGAATTGATGGATACAAAGATTTTGTATTTTTGTAAGTTAGTGGTACTGACCGGTGCTGGCGTCAGATTCTTTGGCTGTGTTGTCATAGGGACAGTTGCTACGGACGATGCCAGCACGAGGTTGGAACGGGCCACTGACATCAGGGAAGTCCAGCGGCGGGAGGCAGTCTCCGCTGTCCTTGGCACTCTCGCTCTCAGACACTGCCCCCCCCCCCCCAACGGGTACATCATTAACACATCCTACAAACATCTCTACCAAACCAGTCACAACAAAAGGACAGACAACTTAAATAATATTGAGGCTGACTGCATTAATTCAGCAAGTGCAAAGTAACTTATTTAAAGCTCTGTCAATATAGGCTCAGTACTCAGTATGGGAATTACAAAACAATCCTTATGTAATGCAACATCGGGTTGCAGTACTGGGGAAGAACACTAGAGAGCAGTAATCTGTCATGAAAAATGCTTTCAGCATGTTATTTATAAAGAGTAATATTAAGGTCTGTAAAGAAACAGACACAAATGCTATTTCTCTGATCTCCACAAGTACTCTTGCCTTCTGCACTTGCTCATTTCACTCCAGTTTGAGAGTCAAAAAGCAATATGAGCAAGGTCATCCACAAAAACCTTTCACAGCTGCCATCTTTCCATACTTAGGACATATACTGCATGTCTGCCTTCAGAGGCCAGGATGAGAGAGCAGGGCTATAGACACATCAGCACTAGGCTTGGTCAGCTGGAGCTCGGAGGGGGTGGTCCTTGTCAACTTACGGGAGCTGGAGTCCTCCTTCTCCAGCGTCCTGTCCTGCAGACCACCTTCCCCTCTTCGCACTTCTTCTTTAGAGAGGGAGTTGTAACCCAGGTCAGACTGGCCCCCTGACACAGAGGCAGAGTGAGCGTCCTTCCTCACGCTGTTTCTGCACGCAGGCTATCACTAAGCTTCCCCGAACTGGACACCTTGCTTAGAAGAATGCCGGGACTAACCTTCCCACGTTTGTAAGAGATTCAATCAATGTATGGAATCAAAGCAGCCGGTGTCTCAGATGACCTGTCAGCTGAGGCTGACGTGCGGGGGGATGCTGCCCGCTCAGGAGCCAGATAGAGAGAAACCTTTTAACTGACGACTACCGGAAAAAAACGGCCGAGGGGACGAGGTAGGCCGACACTGTTAAAACTGATTCTCTCTGCCTCGGCAAGAGGGACATTTCAGTCTCCTGGCAACCGGCTGCCACGTCAATCCACTTTTATCTTTTCCATGAATATTTCTGCCTGCAGCTTCATATCTGTCATTCGTTGAGGAAGGAGGTTCCAGAAGCTCATTAATCTTTTTTTAGGCACATTATGTACTAGTGGTGACAATTCTGGATATTTGTCATAAATCTTGAATACACTGTGTCCTACTTAGAACAAAGGGATGGGATCCTGAACGGAGAACAAAATATCTTTAACAATAGGTCATGGCTCAGTTTTAACATAACATTCAGGACAGTGCACCACAGATCGACGTTACGATCAGAATGAGTGACGCGGGGTGGGGGGGTGGGGATAACAGAGACACACAGAGAGACAGACACAGTGAGACACTTAAAGGAAGGGTGGAAAAAGGCTGACGGATTGAGCCCCCCAGAGGAGAGGGCCGGAGGGCCATCCAGGGCCACCCCAGGCTGGCGTCACACGCAAGCAGGGGGTGGACGGAGAGGGAGGCAGAACAGAGCGATGAGGAGGAGACAGGGAGGCGTGGCACGATGCGGGGCAATGGACCTCCTGTACCTGTGCTAGATCTATCATCAGCAGAATCTACTTTGATTGGGTCAGTGCCGAACGGGGCCTGCTCCACCATGTTAGTGTCATTAGAGCTATCCAGGCTGCCGTGACTGACGGCGTCCAGGTCGCTGCCATCTGTTCAAAAACAACAGAGTGTGAGAGGGGCCCCCACATCCAGGGCCGACAGGGGCCACCCAGGACAGGGGGGGCCCTGCAGGAGAGAACAGTCTGAACAAGGTTGACAGCGAAACTCAACAATCTAAAAAAACAGAGAAGGAAATAAAGGAGAGAGGAGGTGTAGCCTCGTAGCTCCTGGGGGGGGGGGGGGGGGGCGGCCAGGGAGGCGTGAGGAGATGGACTCCCTGATTGAGTTCTGTGGAGAAAATGGACTTTGGTGATTCTCTGTGGCGGGAGGGGGACATGATAAAGCAGCCGGGCAGAGCCGGGAGTTTGCGCGGCAGCAAGACGTTTGCAGGGAACCGAGAGAAACTGGAACATTAACACCAGCGTAAGCGACGTTCTCATCCAGGCCTGCCAGAGAACCGCAGTTCTGTCAGACATGGGGAAGAAAACCTCATGTTCTTAGCCTGTACAGCTGGGGTTGGTGTGAACGGGGTTATAAACCTTGGTTTTGGCTGACAGGCTGCAACAAGCCATCCAAATGAGTCCTTCGGGTATATTATCTTAGCTGGTGGGGGGGGGGTGACCATCAGCCAGGAGTCACAGAGGTAGGTTCTCTGGAGATACTTGATTACTGCGAAGCCCGGTGTCCTGGTATGAGCTGGGTAGGGGGTGGGGGCTCTTTTGAGGGGAGCTCGGACATGTGTCGGGGGGGGGGGGCTATCTAACCCCAAAGTAAGATGGAGTCTGAGGAGGTAGGAATGCCCATGCTGCTAAGTACGGGATTTGGCAGGGTGAAAGAGCAGCCGTCTAACTAGCAGTCTGCTCAGTTACTGGTCATAGCATGGTGCACAGGCCCAAAGTGTCTGACTTACCCGACAGGGGGGTCTGCGCTGGGTTAGACTGCTGCTTTTTCAGTGCCCGTCTGAACTGAGTCACACCCAAAACCACGTTCCTCAGTTTCATCCAAAGGAAGTAGCCCCCTCGCGTGCTGGAGGGCCAGGTGCTCTCCAAAACAGCCTGGGAGGACAGGAAACGAGGAGTGGTGAGGAAGCAGGCGGGAACGCTGACACGCCAGCAACACATTAAGGAACACTTAGCTCTCATTACCCTGACCTCACTGCCCCTGGATTACTCCTCCAAAATCAATAACAGATTAAGCTGACTTTCTAGAAATGATGCCGAACGGGGTTCTGGTGTGATTTTGGTCAGCAAGCCGCCTGAGCTCTCAGAAGCAGGACAAACACCCAGCCACGAGTGACAGCAGACAAAGATGCCTGTGTTCACGCTGTATGAGCGGGAGTCGTCAATGCTCTCTCCGTGAGTGAGAGACGCGACAGCAGCAATACACGGGGAACCAAAAGGGCTCTTGTCCTGATGTTTGCTTTGTACATGTTGTGGTTATGGAGCCAGAAGAGCATTGACGCTTATAAAATAATGAACCTCAAATACCTCTAAAATGAACAATGTTGTGTTACTGTCATCAATGACATCATGTTCCCTCAAGATGCTTAACAACACCACTGCTCTTCTCTGGCAGATTATCCAGGGACTGACCTTATTGTAGTAACCGTAGGTGATTGCATTTGGTTGGACTCCAGCCTTCTTCATCTCAAACAGAACTCGCACAGCTAACACAGGTTGTCCGTACTGTCCACAGAGCTGCATCAGAACCCGGTAGCATACCTGCAGGAGAAAGGGAGCAATGCCAAGTGTGGAGTATGCAGAATCGAACATACAGGGCAGAGGTTTCAAGATCCTGGAAGTGTCTGGCCTGAAGAAAGCCGTGGCTGCATCAGGCCGCGATGGCAGCCCAAGCTCCTACCTCGTCTGGGGGTTGCAGCTTCTTGGCCTGCATCTTCCGAAGCACGTCGTAGGCTGTGCGTAGTGCCCGCACCTTGGAGTGGCACACCTTGACGTAGGCAGGCAGGCAGATGAACCAAAGCCCATAGCAATGCCGCAGCAAGCATCTGGACCACATCTGGGGAATGGAGGAGTACTTCTTTGCAATCTTCTGTGCTGATCTGATCTCCTGAAATAGAGAAACCCCGCAATGACCCCAGTTCCCTGCTAGATTGGCTTGATACTCCTGTCATTGAGCAAGTTACTGTGAGGAAGACACCGTGGCCTTCCTCCCTTTCCTGACCTACATATCACTGAGCAAAAACTAGTTCAACAAACCAATAAAATCTGAAGGACATCAGAAGTGCTTGACAAAGAAGCGTCCGTTTGACTGGGGAGGGCACTGTATGGCTCAGCTTAAGGCCTATAGTATGGCCTGTAGGTTCTCACCTGCTTGGTTCGGCGGAACATGGGAGCGGGACTTGTGGGGCAGCTGTGTCGCGAAGCTACGCGAGAGGCAGGGGTCCTCAGCCCCTCCAATGGATCAAAGAGCTCCGGCCTTAACACAGGGAAGCCGCTGTAGCTGCAGGAGATACAGACCACCGTTCAGCACCTTCAGATACACTCACTCAGATGATCCATTTCAACTGGTGCAATCCGAAATGCAGTTATATGAAGCTGTTAACCAAAGATGCCTACTGTCTTATCAGTGAATGGAAGTAGACACTTGCCTGGAGAAGTTAGGGTATGTCCCCAAGAGAAAAACAACTGGGTCATTTCTAGGGCTCAAACCAAAACCTTCAGGACAAAATCCCTCATTGTGATTCCCCAGTGTACTCTCTGACCCGTTTGAGGTACATACTATGGAAGGCGGATCTGGATATCTAAAGGCCCTCAGAAAATGTGGGAGCATACGCAACATGTCTGCATGCTGCCAGGTCTTTGCCGGTACCTGTAGCACAGAGGGTACTCCTCACCCTCTGGCAGGGGGGGCATCTCTGGGGGGGTGATGAAGACTGTATGCTCACTGCGGTGGGATTCGTCCAGCTCGATCAGCCGCGCTTCCTCTGGCCGGTCGCTGTCCACCTGGAAGAGGAAGAGCAAGTTAAACTCAGGAGAGGTGGCACTAAGGTGACCATCAGTGACAGACAGGGACCGTTTTACTATTAATGTACCCAAAGGCAATGATCATCGGTTTTAGAGTACATTGGTCCATAGTATCAATGCTTTAGCAGAGATGCTAAAAATGCTATTTAACATATATTTTTTGGCTTTTAACTAAGCAGGCATAGATAAAAAGACTAGGGAAAGGGGGTAAACAGGACAGTCTCAAAGTACAAAATCAGCAAACTAGAAGGACTGTCTCATCATGCTCTTCTACGAATGAGACATCATGACAGACTGTCTGCACCCTGACACCCCCCAGCGCATACTGTGGGTAAACCTCCTCGGATCTTTCTGACTCTACGTTTCCCACAGTGGAAAGGCCCAGTAGCTGACCTAGTTTTCACAGCTTACTTAAGCCACATGACCAAGCAAAGTTAATGACTAACTTATCCCCCCTTCAAGAAGAGTTTTGCTTGATCTCTCCCGGAGCTGACACTCTGTCTGCCCCATTACCCCCCTGTCAGGGCCAGTAAGCATGTCATGGGAAAGCTCCATTTCAAAGACACACAGTAGCTATGGGACAAGCAGCACATTCAGAACGTTTGCATTATATTTACAAATATCCAGCTGCTCATCTGAGGCCCCCAGGTCAGGGTCTCACGTTCATCCCTGTATCATATTAGCTATACTAGGGGTGTAAGCAGTCAACCCCAAGGCAATTTGATTAGATTCTGATTATTTAGGGGACAATGCGATGCATCGGAAACCCCTAACCTCTGAGCCACTTGGTGAGCGGGGAGCGGGCCAGATTTTATAATGAATTATAAACACAGGCCGGTACTTAAATGAGTTGACAGCATCCCTCATCCGCCACTACAGAAAGCAGCCGGACGTGTAATGCAGTCATCTCCAATATTTTAGTAGTTGTGTCTTAAGCTGTGGTGCTGCTAACTTTGAATGTTGATAAAGTTTAAATATTGGCCAGCAATTTCAGACAAAATTGACACATCGGATCAATGCTGATATCTTTCTTTGTAACAAATATCATCTGATGCTGATATGTTAAATGATATATCGTGCATCTCTAAAGCTAACATTACTTTTTACTTAGCTAACTAGATGGCTACTTCAGAATCCGGACTATTGCTATCAATAATAGCAAAAAGAACAACTTTTTTTGCGCTACAAAAGAGGGGAGTTTCCCAAAAGCTTTGTAGCACAAAGATTTTCATGACCATTAGAGAGATCGTTTTACACTATAAAACAGCAGCAAGTTTCTCAGAAGCGTCATGGTGCAAAGATCATCACTGTAACTCAAAGATCGTCAGGTTGTGCTTCCTTTATCACTATAAATGAGTCTTCCCCTACCATCTTACATGCTGAAAATTTACGCGCCAGAGCTGCTACTATGCGTGTCTTTTTGCAGCATCTGATCGTGAGAGCGTGCAATCTGGAAGTTGGGAATACCTTTAAGGAGGATTTTGCCCCCAAAAATCGTTTATAACCGATTCTCATGTTACAGATTGATGCACCTAAATTGCTACATTAATGTAGTGATGCATCTTTCCACGCCTAACATGCAGCATTAGCATCTAGTTAGCGCTTATTTGAGAGTCAGATGCTAATTTGTTCTCTAAATATCTTATGACAGGGCTTCATGCCCTTACTGGTATAGTTGCAACACATAACGCAGAGTAATGAAATGAGAAATGAGTGAAGAATGTGTAATAGCATAACTGTACTCCTGCTATGGATTTTTTAAATGAATCTCACACAGAGAATCACAGAGATCAGTAGACTATGCAACAGACAACCAGATAAGCAGACCCCAGGTTCCGAAGCAGGTATCTATCCAGAGTAGAAAAACTGGCTTTTTCCTGCATGTCGATGGCTGGAGGGCACTTCTCGCCTGAGAGTGTATGGAGAAGCTCTCCTGCTGCTCCTGCCATGATCCGTCAGCCCTGGCACAACAGGGGACCGATCCAAATCCACTGCAGAGAGACACTTTCACTGCAGCAGGCAGCTGTCTGACAGCTCACCTGGAAACCAAGAGTGTGATTGCTTCCCCTGTCAACCCAGAGGTGGAGGATCAGCCGCAGGCTAACCCTGCATTCCCACATCTGTCAAGGCTACGGGGACATTCCGTGTTTACATCGCACGATACAAAAACGCCAATAGCGACGCAAAGGCTCCTCCCACACAAACCCTTTACGATTAAATTACACTTGACCTCCGCAAAGGCGGCCCTATACATCCGGCACACTTTGGAGGTCACCATGGTGACAAGCCCAGGTGACTTACATCCAGCCTCTTTGTATCCTTCACTGCATTATGGCAGACAGGAGATGCAAAGCATGGGGGTGGGTGTTTATTTTTAAACATCCAAGACAGCTGCGTGGGATGGCAGAGTGACAGGTCTTCCGGAGGTATGGAGGTTCATATAGTTAAGTGCACGAATCGCATCATACAGACTGTATAGACCTGTCTAAACGTGGGCCACCACTGCAAAATCAATGCTAAGATGGTACATGATTATATAATACAGGGATGTATATTCTAACGCAGGGGTGGGCAATCTTATCCAGAAAGGGCTGCTGTGTGTGTGGGTTTTCACTGCAACCCCCTAATTAGATTATTAATTAGAGGACTGATTGGCTAAAGAGTCCTCACACCTGGGTTTGAACAGCTGACCTAAAGGTTATCCTAAAAACCTGCATACACATCGGCCCTTTGCGGATAACATTGGCCACCGCTGTGCCAATGAGTCTGGCCCTAGCATTCTTCAGTAATTTGGCCCGTTCTTCTGGTTGGCAGCCTTCCAAAGACAACTGGTGACTCATGAAATCAGCCACACCCTGGCGGTCCATCAAGGTATGACTGCAGTGTGTAATATCTCTGATAGAACCTTTAATGACTCATTACAAAAAGCAAGAACTGAGAGCTAAATGTATAACAGTGACCACATCCAAGGGAATGTCACATTATTCTGGTTGCCTCTTGATTTAATGGTATTTTTAATGGCTGTTAAATCATCCTGGTGTCACTGACGAAAAGAAACAGGCATCCATCCATCTTTTCAGGCAGGACATGGTGAACCAGAGTGTATTCTGGGAAGTGTTCCCGCAGGGTTGGATACACCCTGGACAGGATGACAGCCAGTCTCAGCACATACAGTCACAGAAAGAGAGAGGTAAGCATGCTATGGTAAAAATGCCTCAGAGTCACCCTGTTAACTTATTGTGTATACTGCTAACTAAGAAAAACTGTGCAAACTTTACTTTAGTTATCATTTGAAACAGACTATGGTTTGTAGTTTTGTTTTGCATCCTGTATGTGTTCCCTTTTCCTACAATTAATACGATAATTAATGTTGCGTGTTAAATTCCAGTTGTCCAGCTGGACCTCGGGGCAGGTTTATATTAACGGGTCATCGTTACCTGTATCTCCAAACACAAATTATTGGCTGCAGTTCCTTAAACAAAAATCTGTTTGTTCTGTACATTTGTTACATTTTCAAAGTTAACAGCCTACAGTCAATAATTGCAAATTAGTTTTTGTCCTTAAACATCCCATATGATCTTAAGCACAGGCTGATAGACCATTTCACCGGCTGACGTACACACACAGACAGAGGGGGTCAGGGCCTGTGGAGGGCGCCTTACCTTGACTCCTCTGTCGGCGCTGCGCTCTGTGTTGAACAGCTGCCCAGACAGGGAGATGGAGAGGAGAGGCAGGCAAGAGAGAAGTGAGCTGGGTTACAGAAGGACAGGCCACCAGTCTGAGCCATGCAAAGAATCTGCCATGCTGCAGCGAGGCGTTTGGGTTAGTAGGAAAGAAACGTCACCATAAAGGTCTACTGAAGTATGGAAGCGGACATGAGAACACTGCTTAGTCTTACTCGAAAAAGGAGGCCTTAATGAACTTTCATTACTAAGCAGCCTCTGGTACAACCTCAGACTGGTCTGAAGGCCAAATAGAGCAGGAAGCCTGGTGAGACAGTGAGCTCTGTGTCCATCAGGAGCGGAGAGCGACCCTACCTTGTCCACACAATCATCGAAGAATGCCAAGCTTGCATCTTTATCGCTGACGAAGGAGCATTCCTCGATAAACCGGATGAACATCTGGGTCTTCGTCATGAGGGAGTAGAACTTCTGGTGGGAGCGGTCGCGGCTCTTCAGGAAACCTGGAGATGTGATGAAATATCACTGAGAGCACCCTTATGGAAGCCTTGGCAGGGGAGATGTTCACCGATTTTCATCTTCATACTGTCAGGATATTTTTACTCATATTCATGTGACTACTAAGAGTGCAAGAAAGTCAAAACTACAGGAACTGGTTGGTTTCTGAATAGTAGAATAAAGCATTGACACGCACAGAGGCGCCCACAGCAGGGCATGCTGGTATGGCTGACCCCACCCTACCCGTGACACCAGGGAAGCCCCTCGGTGCGGCTCCGGGTCCCATCATGTCCATGACTAACTGAACTACTTGACAAGACTGATGTCATAGATGTGTCTGGGTACATAGTGGCCTCTGATTTAACTATGGTACCCTTGGGGAACTGGGGCTTGGACTCCTGCTCAGGTTATTATGTAAACACATTTTCTTCCTCAGTTTCATTCAGTGTGATAAGGTTGTGAGTCCGGAGAGACTCAGATGAGATCACCACGCTTCGTCCATGACATCATTGGGACTCAAAGGCAGCCTTCCAGAATGAGCAGCTGTGTCACTAACTAACCATCCGAATTGCTAAACTGCCCCACCCTCTCCCTGTGCACCAAAAAAAATCTAGTTTATTTATTTATTTAAAAGGAAAACAAGAAACAAGACCATCTGGCTTCATCTGAGCAGGGCTTGTATTTTGGGAGGGCCACACATGCAGAGTTTATTCTGATCAGAATCATTTCCTGAACATAAGACACTGCTTCACTGCGACAACCTGTTAAGACACTTCACTGTATCAAGTATCAGACACTGCAACGTACTGACTGTCAGATACTTCACCATATTGTCTGTTAGACACTGCATCGTATCGACTGTCAGATACTGCATCGTATCGACTGTCAGTTACTTCACTTTAACAATTATCAGACACTGCAGCATATCGACTGTTAGACACTGCAACATACCAACTGTGAGTTACTTCACTAAATCAAGAAAGATACATACTCAAGATATATGTAGACTTCCTCCATTTTCAGTCCCACAAATCCAAAAAAAGGTTGCCTGATAAATGCTGCCAGGTCAGAAAGGCACCCACCTTGCAGGTCGAACAGGGAGCTGGCGTCTGTGGCCTTCTCTGAGGGTGCCTGGGTGATGGGTCGCAGGTACGAGCGGTATCCCTTCAAGATGGCTGCCATGAAGCGCAGGAAGGCCTCCTGGATCTCCATCTCCAGACTCTGAAGACTCTTCCCGCTGCTGAAGTCATAGTCACTCATGGCCAGCTCCATGAGGCCATCCTCTCGAGGTCTCTGACAGCCTGACACAAATCGGGAGCATTCAATTACAATTGCAATCTAAATTATGACATCAAGTCAGTTAACAACACTGCATTATGAAAAGCTATTAGTAGAAATAGGCAGTGATTTGGCTGGACACCATTTATACAGTTTACTCCCGAGTCTCTCAGGTGATGGTATAAGGCATCCTAAATCCCACTGACACCAGGAAGGTCTTGAAATAACCTACATACAGTCACGGCTTGTGAATTACTACTGCAATCCTATTTAAAGCAACTCATAGTCGCTAATCCGAAATTATCCTGTTTTTATCCCAGTGACACAGCTGACTTTTCTGTGACAAATGCGATTCTACAGAAAATTCTGGAAGCCAGTGGCTCCATGGGAAAGGCGGACAGGATCTGTAGGTTTACTGCATGCATAACAGGCAGTTATTAAACTCCAAAACAACTGTGTATAAACACAATGCTTCTTGTCATTTTCCCACATGGGCAAAATAGGTGCTCCCTCACATAAATAATTGCTCGCATAACTGCTCATATGAATATTCACTTGTATGAACCTTTGCCTACATGAGTTTTCCTCGCATGAACAATTGTTCATAGGAATATTTGCTTGCATGATTAATCTCCCACATGAACAGTGAATAATCGCTTGTATGAACAGTCAATCATATGAATAATCGCCTGTATGAATATTCATGTGTGATGGACACACACCTTCAGCCAGCTGCTGGTAGAGGTTGTTCAGGGTGTTCATCAGGTTCTTACAGGCCTTCTTCGGCAGGACCTTCCACAACAGGCCCCTCTTATCGTCATTGCTAAAAAACAAAGAGCGTTCTGGAAGTGAACCACAACGTGACATGGGGAACTGTGAAAGCCCGCATGGTATAAGTATTCTTTCCTGAGAAGAAGGGGAACCAGATATGACCAGATCAGTGTTCGAAGAGGAAGCGGGAAGGTGATTACAAAAGCATTACATGACATAAGAGGATGACAGATGGAAGTGGCCAGCTGCACTCACTGGGAAATGGTGTTGGTGTCGAGGTCCACACAGCTGACATCTGGCGGGGGGTCGTAAAGGTCAAAGTAGCGGGAGTCCACACCCACGATGAAGGGGCATGGGGCGCTGAGCACATCAGCCAGAGCCAGCGGGCACAACGGGATATAGGGGCACGGCCAGTGGAAGGGAAAGATCATCTGCATGGGAAAGCAGGAGATCCTGGGGCTGGGAACTGTGGAAGGCCAGGCTCCAGGGCCTGTCATCCGGCCAAACATCCTGCAGAATCAAGGCGGGACATACCGACACCAGAGCCTCTGTCACGCTGGTCAGCACGGACGGCCGCAGTGAGTGCACCAGGATCTTGTGCTCGGTGACGGCAAACACCAGCAGGGTGACGGCATTCTCAGGGCCCAAGTTCTGTAGGAGCGTGGAAAGCCGCCCTCCACTGCAGCACGAGAACACGGGCGGCGTTTAGGACGGACGAGCCAGAGCGTCACATGGTGAGGCACTGGAGCGTCAGTGAAGCAGACTGACCTACCTGAGAGGCAGTGGCGAGGACACCGGCTGGCTAAGCATCAGACTGTCATGTGGGGACAGCTGTGGAGTCACAGAGAGTCACACATGGCCTGTGTGTAAATGGACACAGGCAGACACGACACTGCAGGGGGGAGTACACCAGCAGCTCACCTGCACCAGGATGCGGGGCCTCTGGGATGAAGGGAAGGGCACCTTGTGCATAAAGTGCGAGATGTGCCTGGAAACAAAAGTGCAGTGACCTTCACTAGCCACCGGGGGGGCTGGTGTTTCACCACCACCACCCCCCCCCAATAGACACATAAAAACCCCTCAAGCTCCACCATAATTGGCATGTCAACTAAGACCTGGACACAATTAAAAAAAATAAATCCCCAGGAACAGGCCCTGGCTTCCAGGATAAGTGCAGTAAAACCTCCTGCCGTCACACGTGCTACCCGAGTCCCTCAGGCACTGGCAGCTCCCCTGAGCACCAGGCCAAGACTCTACGCTTGTCATCTGACTCGAGGTCATTTGAATCCCGGTCAGATGGAGCTCTCGAATTTCACAGGGTTCAGCACGCGGACGCCAACATGGAACTCACTTCTCGATGGGCAGGGCATGGGGCCCGGAGATGGAGTAGCGGTACAGGAAGGTGAGAAATTTCCGGAAAGCGTCGAAGAACGGCCAGTGGGACAGCAGGCAGATGCACTTGTTGGTGTGTGTAGAGCGGGTGGCTGCGGGTACATGCTCGCTGGCCACATCCAGGCCCAGCTGCTGCCGCTGCCGCTCCGTCAGCTGCTCCTGAGGGTACGGCTCGTAAAACTGAATAGCAGCTCCGTACACCTGCGGGATCACATGACACAGGACCACAGCTCAGGGGCATTAATCGTACCCGTCGAATACAGCTGCAAGCTTCAACCGTCGACAGATGGTGCTGCGATACATCCTGCATCAGGGGAAAGACTCACAATTAATATTTACTAAAATGCAGGAATACTCATTTTAAGTGTTTGTGCCCCCCTCCCTAAAACACCTGGCCCCCCAAGCTGAAGGCTTTCCTCTGCCAGCTATGGTGAGGTCGTCAGAGTCAGCAGCTGGCAGCCCCTGTCAGAGCAACCGTGCTCCGCCAGCCGTGCAGAGGGCGCGGAGGGAACGCTGCAGCTAGCGGGACGCAGCTCCATCCCAGCTGGGAAAAGCCAGGTATCCGCCCTCTGTTTACACAGCTCTCTGTGTTTAAGTGCATGAGCTCACCTTCTCCCCCGAAGCCCCCGTCAGGACGAAGGTGGAGAAGATGGGGAGGGAGTACTTGGTCTGGGACGGCCAGCACTCAATGGTGGCGCCCATGGGCAGGCAGAAGAGAGGCACGGACTCGGGCAGCGGGAAGGACTCGTAGTCCTCCTCGGGGTACCTGCAGAGCAGGCCTGTGGAGGGGCGACAGAGTGGGAGGGTGATGGCTGCCCCGCTTCTTAAAAACCACACAGACCTCGCATGATCCCAGAAAGCGTTTCGGTCTATCAGCAAATTTCCAAAATATGACCAAATGTTTCATAGAAGCTGCCACAGATCATCAGCTATTTTAATAATATTTTAATAGAAAACACTCCCACTGTAATAGGCCTGGCTCTTCAAAAGTGAACTTATAGCCTTATTCGTCATTAATTCTGGATGAGACTGAAGGCCTGGCTACACCCATCGAGTCAGCGACTGAGGCGCCGGATGAGAGTGAGTCATACATCTCATTTGATTCTTATGTTCAAAAACCATGAATGCATAATAAATGGCTGTGGTGTAAACCTGCCTCACTTCCTGAGTATTTCCATATATCCTGCACTGCTGAAAGGATGCTTCATGATCATTCTTACTGCTGGGCTGCCAGACTCATGAACGCAGCCTTTGTACCACGTGAGAAAACCAAGCAGTCAATGTCACAGATATTGCCAGGGATCCACGCAAGTCTGGGAAGATGGAGTCACCCAGGATTAGGAGGAATGCTTCCAAATGAGATCTGTGCAGATCTCAGAGCCCCCATGATGTACCGGAGGAACAGGCTCCCAACATTGTGGGGTTTATCACATCCGAAGCTCCTGTAATTATAGACCTATGCTCCCACATTCCCATACAACTGCCCCCACACATGAATGTGCACTCGGGCCATTCAGAGACCCCTGTGCACCTGATCTACAGAACCAATGGCAAGATGTGGGTCACTAACCTGCTTTGTAGGCAATAGTGTTGGTTTTAGCCACAGACTTCTTATAACACAGGTAAACTGAGGAGCCCCACTGAAAATCAAGAAGAAATGCATTCATCAGATCACCATTGTCACAGTACCATCCAAACCACCCTAATTGTAACCGTAACCCTCTCCCTGACCCCTAACCCCTCTCCCTGACCTCTTACCCTAACCCCTCTCTCTGACCCCTAACCATAACCTCTCTCCCTGACCGCTAACCCCTCTCCCTGAACTCCAACCCTGACCCCTAACCATAACCCCTCTCACTGACCCCAAACCCCTCTCCCTGACCTCTAACCCTAACCCCTCTCCCTGACCCCTAACCATAACCCCTCTCCCTGACCTCTAACCCCTCTCTCTGACCCCTAACCCCTCTCCTTGACCCCTAACCCTAATCCCTCTCCCTGACCTCTAACCCTAACCGCTCTCCCTGATCCCTAACCCTAACCCCTCTCCCTGACCCCTAACCATAACCCCTCTCCCTGACCCCAATCCTAATCCCTCTCCCTGACCCCTAACCATAACCCCTCNCCCTCTCCCTGACCCCTAACCATAACCCCTCTCCCTGACCCCTAACCAAACCCCTCTCCCTGACCCCTAACCCTAACCCCTCTCTCTGACCCCTAACCCCTCTCCCTGACCCCTAACCCTAATCCTTCTCCCTGACCTCTAACCCTAACCGCTCTCTCTGATCCCTAACCCCTCTCCCTGACCCCTAACCATAACCCCTCTCCCTGATCCCTAACCCCTCTCCCTGACCCCTAACCATAACCCCTCTCCCTGATCCCTAACCCCTCTCTCTGACCCCTAACCCCTCTCCCTGACCTCTAACCCTAACCGCTCTCTCTGATCCCTAACCCCTCTCCCTGACCCCTCTCCCTGACCCCTAACCCTAATCCCTCTTCCTGACCTCTAACCCTAACCGCTCTCTCTGATCCCTAACCGCTCTCTCTGATCCCTAACCCCTCTCCCTGACCCCTAATCCTAATCCCTCTCCCTGACCCCTAACCATAACCCCTCTCCCTGACCCCTAACCATAACCCCTCTCCCAGCTCCTGTGATGATGAGGATGCTGGCAGCTGTCAGGCAGAGCGGAGGGTGAATAAACAGCCAAGCTACCCCCTCCAATAGGGTGATTGCTGTGCCCCTGTGATTGCCAGCCCAGCCCCTGCTCTGCCATCCAATCGTGCAAAGCCCCATCCCTGCCCTGCAATCTCACAGCTCACCATGCTGCTGTTCAGGTTCTTGTCCACCTTGCAGAAGGTGTGGGGGGGTGTCTCGCCCTTGCTGGGGATGATGATGCAGATGTCGGTGACAGCCAGCGGGGCGTGGGCGGCGCCATCTAGAGCACGCCGGTACGTGATGTAAATGCGCTGTGATGACGTGCTGCTGATGTTGGCGGACCGACCAGAGGGCGTCATCTGGATGACATGGCAGCCCTGCTTCAGCCGCTCCTTCCACTCAAACAGCACACTGAAGGGGGCCGGGGAGGGGCCAGATTTAGTACACAAGCAAAAATCCATGAGTAGAAAGACGGAAAGGCAGTCAGATCCAGATGTACAAAACCTGGCGATTACAACCTGGCAACCACAACTCAGTGGTCAAAAGACGCTGGTCAGATCCTGACAGCCCCACTCACCCGAGGTCGGTCAGGGGCGGTCTGTCCCGGCCTCTACGGTAGCAGAGGAAGACCTGGGGCCCCATGAGGCTCCCGCTGTTGAGATCGGCCGACAGCCCCGAGGGCGTGGTCTCCACACAGATGTAGCCTGGAGGAACCTCCTCTCCAAGGGAGCGCATCACCACGGCAACATCTGTGATGGGGGCTTTGGGCCGGGCTGTCTTGTGGCACACGTCATCAAAGTGGATCTCCTCATCCAGGGGCTTGGACGACTCCGTCAGGCCAGCCACCACGAAGTAGTCTGCAACACGAGGGCCTTTGTCCTCCATCATTTTCCATCCCATGGAGCAGGTCTGCGGTGAGATGGAGTGGAGAGGTGAGGGAGGGCTGGGGTCTGCACATGAGGAGGGGGCAGGTGTGCATGGATGAAGGCGGGGGCCGAATGGACGTGTATCCCTGGGTGTGTGCGTACAGCTCAATGCTGAACCCCAGGTCCTGCACCTCAGAGTAGACCTGCTTGGTGGGGAGCAGAGATTGGTGGTGGCACTGTGAGGACACTGTGGGTGACAGAGAGTGGAAACACCCCCACGTGCCTTGACCGGCCCACCCTGCAAATGAAAGCCCCTAAGAGCACTTACTGCACATATGTATATCATTACAGCGCCAGAGCTGCACATGTCTGTCACACAAAGAGCCGCAGTGAAGCACACTGTATTTGCAGCCATGTTCCCTTCCTAATGAAGCAGAATGGATAGGTTAGAAGCAGATTTTCGGAAAATGTGGGACCCTATTGTTTTGCCGGACACAGCTGCAGTGAGCGTGAGGCCCAGTGACCGCTTCTGCCAGATGCCGGGGGGGAGGGGGGGGCACCCCCTTGGCAGGCAAGGGTGCAGTTCCCACGTCACCCCCCCAGCTTTGGCAGAGGTTTTGCTGGACACGTCACCCTGCCTGATTTATGTACGTCCACGACGTCCCGTGGTCGTCTCCCGTGGCCATCTCTCAGGGCATGAGCCATCGGCCAAATGTCCCCTTTGTTACACGGGAAAGTGCTACAGACATCTGTGAGGGCGGGGCACACTGCAGCCAGGCCGCAAGCTGTAAACACACAGGTGCCACCGATGGGGTCAGCAGGGCCCACACCGGCCCCCAGCACGGGCCCCCAGCACAGGGTCAGGAGCTCCCCCGAACCTAAGCAAAGGCCGTTCGTCACAAATTATCCACAGTTACTCCATCCATCCATTCATTGTCAATCTCATCCAGCAACCCAGGAACATGCAGCACAGTTCCTTGCCCTCCCGGCCCCTGCGTGTGGCATTCTGGGAAGCAGAAACAACAGTGCAGTTTATGGTGCGAGTGCAGGTGCCTGGGGACCGTGACACAAAAGAAATACAGTGCTGGCACAGAAGGACTGAGAGCAGAGAGTACACCCTAACTGCACAGGACGTTACAAGCCCCCCTCTAGCAACATTCTTCCATGTTCCTCATGAGAAATGACAGCGGAGAGGGGGGATAAATTAGCTGGAAAGTTCCACATCTCCTAATTTAGCAAGCTGGCCTGTTCCAATGAGCTCCCCCCCCCTCCCCCCCCCCAGCATGACTGCAAAGTGACAGGAATCCTACTCAGCATAACCTCACTGAGCATCATTAGCACAGTGGTGAGACCCCCTGAGTGGATGCACTCTTCCTGTCTCCCTGTCACACTCACATGGCCGAGGATACAGGTACCAGGAGACCCGGAAAGCACACCGGCTGAGAGACCATTCCATTTCCAACACACCGCCCTGCATGCCAACAAACAGTGCACTTTAATTTCTGCAAGTGTTCGCTAAGAGTGTTCCTAGGTCACAGTAAGGGGCAGAGAAGTAGTTCAGCTCTAGATAATTGGCTAGACTCACAGTAAAGCCTGATCAGGACAGCACCACGGCAGGAAATCAGAACAAACACGGGGATTCATCTTTGATTCTGAAGCACAGAAAACAGCCTTTGTTACTGGGCAGAAGATAGAGGCTTTTTTAGAAACCGAGCAGTCCAGGTATTTCTGCCTGTAAAGTGAATTAAATGTGGATTAAAGCAAATAAAGAAAAACAGTTTCTTCTCAGTATGGCTGCTTAACCAACATAAAAGGATAGCAAATATTGTTCTTGGACACCGATACATCTGTTTGTCTGCTGGCGGTTGCACGGCTTGGCAGGTAGTTATCATCATGTGTTAGCTGTTAGCTAAAAGCAAGACAAATTATGGTGATAAACCAATTCCTGACACATTATTGTAAAACCTGCATGTTCACTGTTGAAAAAATTATTTAAAAAGATGATGCATTTCACCCTGTGGTGTGTTAGCGACTGCCCAGGGTTGGTTCCTGCCTGAGCCCATTGTTCCCAGGATAGGCTCCGGTCCCCCCTGCGACCCCAGTTGGGATTCAGTGGTTTCAGAAAATGGATGGATGGATGGATGGATGATCCATTTCCCTCACTTCAAACCACTTTTCAAACCACAATTTCACTGGTTAAGAACAGACAAGGGTGCAATTGCACAGCATTCTGGGATACTTCCTGTACAATGCTGATATTTTTTGGCTAATGCATCAGGACCTTCTGGCTCCAACATCACACCAAGGTTAGCATGTATGCCATATACCAGACATGCGTGGTCAAACACACTCGCTTCCACTCCTTAGAAGAGGCAGGTGACCACATATGGACCCCACCACTCAGAAACATGGTAACAGGCCCTCATGGACGTGGCCTCCCTCGGTGCCCCCCCCCCCCAGTGACACAAGCGATTGCGGTAACGCTCACCATGGCAACAGTGGAAAAAATCCCCATGCAACCTCTCAGATGCTGCAGGAATTGATGGGAAAAAACAGAAAGTCGCAGGTGCTGCCTGAACATGGGGGCGCGTGGGGGGGCACTTAGAGTGCAGAGATGCCACGAGACATCGGGAAAAACATCATCAAAGCACAGGCTCCGCTCATAAGGCACAGCCCAACAGGCTGGAGACCATGGTTATGCAATCATAGTTTTATAATTTACTATATTTAGTGAACAAGGAAGTAATGTAATCCAGCACAGTGAGTCTCTCATTAAGGTCTGAGATGCGAATTAAGATGTTAAAATAAGCACTTCCCCACACCAAGGCCGCACAGGACAGTGAGTCAGCAAGCAGAATGGGGGGGGTTCCTCGCCGGAGGAAGCACAGCTTGTCTGGCCACGCTTTACTCTCTTTGCAAACACTGTTTAGAAAAGGCAGCCTTTCTCCACGGACGGGAGACTCACAGGTGCCTCCGTTTCGGAATCCAGGCTCTCAGACGCTGAAAATCGGCTTCATCTGAGTGAGGATTTGAATCGCTTCCTTTATCTGAGAGCAGACACGAGCTCCCGGGGAGGAGCATGACCTCTCAAACCTGGGGCATATGGCAGGTGACACATAAAGGAAGCACAGCCATCCCGATCAGAGGACCGTCACTCACACACAGACTCAAACCTGGGGCAGATGGCAGGTCACACATAAAGGAAGCACAGCCATCCCGATCAGAGGACCGTCACTCACACACAGACTCAAACCACGGCCCAGTCTAATTGGGCCAAACGTGTCTCGCCGAGAGGTCTCAGCTTTGAGGCCAGGAAGACACTCGCTGAGATGCTCAGTCCCTCTGATAGGTAACCATGGTAACCGTGGCCTAAATGGCAAGATTCAACAGATGCATATATTAAGCATCTCACCTGAAGACTTTCCTTATTTCCTTTAAACAGAAGCTTAGCTGGAAAAGCTATTTTCTCAGACATACAAAGCAGGCTGCCATCTTAGGATGGAAAAAATCAAACCAATTAACTAATGAATTACTGTATTTTGCTAATGACTGTTCCAGCACAAAGCCTACACAGAGACACCCATGCAGGAGAGGGAGGCTGAAACATGCCATTGAAGTGAACACTAAACCCCCCATACTCCCATCAAACCTCCTATTGAAGTGAACACTAAAGCCCCCATACTCCCATCAAACCTCCCATTAAAGTGAACACTAAAGCCCCCATACTCCCATCAAACCTCCCACTGAAGTGAACACTAAAGCCCCCATACTCCTATCAACCCTCATATTAAAGTGAACACTAAAGCCCCCATACTTCCATCAAACCTCCCATTAAAGTGAACACTAAAGCCCCCATACTCCCATCAACCCTCCCATTAAAGTGAACACTAAAGCCCCCATACTCCCTTCAACCCCCCCATTAAAGTGAACACTAAAGCCGCCATACTCCCATCAAACCTCCCATTAAAGTGAACACTAAAGCCCCCATACTCCCTTGAAACTGGCCATTAATGTCAACAGACAAGAGGTTGTGCAGCCTCTTGGTTGCACAACCAATGCACATGAGAGAAGATGTTCCTGCTGGCCCTGTGGTTGTAACCACACTGTCCTGAAAAGAGGAAAGGCCATTTAAGCAGCTATAGGAAGACCGATTGCGCATTCTGACTAGTATTTCTGAGTGCCTAGTAAGTGTGCTATCCAACATGTCCAACATGTTGACAAAGGCCACAATGGACACAATTGGAAATAAATTAACCTTCATGAATGTCAACACGCAGCTCATAGGATTATGTAACGTCCCCTGTATTGAACCCTCTATGACCCCTGTATTGTCTTGATGACATCGGCTGGCTATCACTACAGAAATCCCTTCAGTGAGGTCATTATGTGATGTCACAGGCCATTAATCAGCTGAATCATGCTACACGTGAGGGACACGTATCCTGACTGAGGAGCAGATGGGTCACATGTGAGCTGTAAGCTGACTCTCAAAAAACTGGACTTTTGATTTAGACAAAGCCTGAATGTGACTTTTAAGAGCAGATGAGTAAGAGGCGGTAATCCTACCAGCTGAGGAATAGTTAAAGAGGGATAGGCCTGAAGTGGGCAAATGTGGCTGTTTTTCTCTCACCATGTTACCAGCCGAGCAGATCTGAACACTCCATGCGGCTTGTTTGTCTAGCCAGAACGCAGAGCCTTCCTGCGGTTCTGGGAGAAAAAGATCTCCCCACGCCTGCGGCCCCTGACTCCTTAACCCCGGAAGAAGCAGGAGGAATCCGCCGCGGTGCTGCCCCCCTGCATGCTGACGCGGCCCGCCCCCCCCGCCCCCGACCATTTAAAGGCCAGGACAGTGAGTGCCGTGGGATGCCGAGACGCCGATTGCGAAAGCAGCCTGTAATCCACATGAGTGCAGCTGCTGGGAGCCGCCGAAGGATCATGGGATGGACAAACAAGCCGAGCTTAGAGGAGGCAAAACAAATAAGTCCATTAAAACGCCCATAATGCATCTGGGCTCGCATCTGCTTCTGGTTATTACAGAAAAAA